CTTCTGGTTAAAAGTAGTCGGCATACGTATGCCACCTTTGGCCATATGCCATGACAATATACGGGTTTATGTTGATTATCGTGGAGTGAGACGTCCGCAGGTATATGTTTGACCAACCAAAAGGCACGAGTAGAGGTGTAGTCGTACGCATTTGAAGGTCAACCCTAACCCTGAAGGTATCTGGAGCGTAAAGTTAGTCATGTCGCTTACCTAGTATTGCTATCAAAATGTCTCTTAAACAACTTCTCATAGTCCGCTAGGTCGTAAAAGTAACCTTCATGTGTGAGGTTGTAAAGTGACAATGCAGGAATGCGCCGGCTGCATCACCGGGTGCCTCGAGGACTTAATATGTCTGCTTCTGCCGGTGTGACTCAAGCAACAAGATCTCTAAGCCCACCGCAGCATCAGTATTGGTGGAATAAAGAGGAGAATAAACAGCGAGCACTGAACGCGCGCAGAGGGAATTGAGCGCTTGAGTCAGATCTTTAATCGAGAGAGGGCGCGCGAATATATCACACATGTGATAACAAGGCGGTGAAATATATTTGGATCACTCCATCAAGTGCTGCAAATGCATACCGATAGTCGTACATCTCGCGACTGAATTCTTTCTTAGAATGCAAGGAAATCATTCAGTGGTAGCATGAGAGAGCTTCGTGGTTCTTTATACTGAGCAGCGCTTGAAAGATATGCCCGTTTTCGTAGAGTGAGATACACTCTTCGTACGAGCCGGGTAACCAATCAATAGGAATCCATAACGACAAGGAAATACCGGCGCTATTTACTTCACCTTTCATTCTGCCGAGTTGATTACTTACAACCATTGGTGGGAGCCTTTCTAACGCAAGTTTTGACGAAGAGTTGCACGATAAAATGATTTCTCTCTGTCAGCCTGCATAGTGATTACCAGGCACCAGCGAGCCATTTTCTCTTACAAAAAACGATGCGTTAATTCCATTGCTGATATGTAATAGTTCTGAGTGTATTTGGAAGCTGCCAGCCTATGATACCCTCACTCGGGACATCGGCGTGAGGTAAAAAGAAGTCATGATAATTCCGTCCAGTCTTTTCTTCGAGTCGTACACACAAGTAAACTACCGAGAATGGCAAGTGGACTCAAGAGAGTTAGCCCGGCGGCTCTAGTCATTTCATTGCGAAGCCCAACATGGCAGGTGGATCAAGAGCAATATAATGCATGTCAGCTCTAAGAATATCGAAGCAACGTGGGCAGATTCACCATAGACCCCAAGGTCGCAAGGCTGAAGAGAAGATATTCCCGAGTAAAAATCCGTAGCAAATCAGGCAGCCAAGAGGCGATGTAACAATGGGGTTGCTATTCAATTTTGCATACCTAACTGTGCGGGCGTCGCCCTTCCACGCGTGATGCATCTTGTTTATGTTATCGCGAGTCACATTTGCCTCTATCTCCAATAGAGGCCGTGATTAGTGTTATCCAGTGGGGAAGACTAGAACGAAGCAATCTATGGGACTCTCAACAGTAGGGTAGCTCGTGGGACGATAGAGAATGTGTGAGTGGTTGATGACCCGAGGAAAAGGCTCTCATTTGCTATCTCCTGCCTCTCTTGGGATATACAAGGCTAAAAGGACGAGCGGAAACAAGTTTTTTTCACGAGATATCACTTGCACGAGAGCCATTTACTCAACATCAAGAATCTGCTTTCCTGATTAGACGATAGTTGCCCCAGCCCACGAGCCGCTTAGCCCATGGGTCGGTACCGGCAACTAAAAATCGACGTCCAACCCTTGTCGATTTCTCGCAGACTGCCTTTGGCCAAGAGTCTTCGGAGACTCGCCCAGGAATACTAGTTCCGGCCGAGTAATACTGTACTACTGGAACGACAGAATAGTAGTACTATTCGCTCCGTGCTCCGTCTATCCCCCACGAAGCATCTCTACGTTAGCCTCGACCATGGAATAGCTACCACTCTAAGCCTCAAGATGAAACATGGGTTGTGAATATGCCTGCAACAGGCTAGCTAGCACGTTTTCCTTCTCCACAAGCAAGCCGACGCCGTTGCTAAATGCGGCAACTCCAGGCACAAGCTTATGGCTCGGGTCCGGCCATTGGTCCTACACCAGCCAGAGTCTCACGATACTGCGGCATAGTCCGTCCACAACGCCCAATTTGTTTCAAGGGTATGATTCTAATCCAGAAGATGCCTGTCCTGCCATGCCTCGAACCCGCCAATGAGGAACCTCAGACGCGCGGCTGAAGCCCGATTTGGCCGCCAGTCTCTCCGCGTCTGCTCGGTAGGTTACATTGCCCGGCCAGTCTGTAGATACTACCATGATTTCGTCCGGCAATCAGCCCTAGATGTCCTGTTAGACGCTCGCCGTGATGCCGGTTTGCCGACTCACGTCAGAAAGCTTTCTTGCATGGGACGGTCTATCAGGGTGTTTTGAGCAGACGCCCTCCGGGAGCCTTGTAGGTGAGAGGCCGAATAGTATTGATGGTTGCACTATTTCGAGCTTCCCTTTTGAGCAGAGGTGAAAACACCATCGTGAGGAAAGAGGTATAAAGAGGCCAAGTCCGTTCATGATCGACACTTCTTCTTCACCAGTTCAACTCAGACAACTCAGTTCAGAACCAGGACCAACCAAAGCAGCCCTCACCAATCCAACCATCCAACCTCCTCCATCAAACACAATGGCTTTCAAGACGATGCTGGTCGCCGCTCTGGCCGCTCTCCCCTCCGCCCTGGCCTTCCCTCTCGAGTCCCGCGCCGGCTGCACCTACAACGGTCCTTGGCAGAACTTCCCCTCCATGAGCCAGTGGCTTCCCTGGACCACTGTCTTTGGCGACTACGAGCAGTCCATGGTCAACGCCGGTTCCACCTGGGACGATGTCGGCCGTATCAACGTCGCCATCAGCAACGCCGCCGCCACCATCGGTGTTGACGAGCGTGTCATCCTCGCCATCATCCTCCAGGAGTCCAGCGGTTACGTCGGTGTCCAGTGCACCGGTGGCGACGACTGCGGTCTCATGCAGTGCGAGGGCTGCCCCTCTTTCCAGGGCCAGAACGGCCTGCCCCAGGTATGTAGCCACTTTGATATACGCAACTCTGTTAAAACTGTTCTGCGATGGCGATATCTCTCTAACACGCCCTATAGGAGGACACCTCTGCCATGATCAACGGCGGTACCCAGCACTTCAAGGGCAACTTGGAGGACTGGGGCAACCAGTGGAGCGAGTCTTCCATCTACCCTGCTCTGCGCGAGTACAACTCCGGCAGCGTCGACCAGAACGACCTCAGTACTGCTGCCGGTGGCTTCGGCGTTCCCTGCTACGTCAGCGACATCGCTCGCCGCATGATGGGTGAGGTCTTCTAAGCTCTTTCTCTTGATGAGAGAGATCTGGAGGAGCTCCAAATACAAAAAGGAGGAACATGTTGAGATGTGAGGAATGAAGGTGAAGCATGATGAATCTGCTTCTCCGGTTTCGATTCACTTGTCTATATTTGCCCTTGTGGCTCTTTGAAATCCTTACCTAGAGGGTCATGTCTATATCTAGGACAAACGTAAATACATTACTTTCTACGAAACTTTTGAGATCTCATTGTGAATTGATTGATACACACAGCATCGAAGTCGGATGTCTGTAGTGTAGATGGGCTGTGAAACATTCTTGCTGCAACCAGCTGCCTCTTTTGATCATCTAATCTCATGGCAAGACTCAAAACCTGAGTCGTGAGCCGTAAAAGGACTTACACTACACGAGTAGCTAAACGTGTATTCAACCCCTGCCAAGTCCCTGCAATGTCCTGCCAGTGTGAACGAAATCCGTGGGGCAAACGTAGCGTACTCGAATAATAATCAAGAAGCGCGGCTAACTGGGCGTCCATACTGGCCAATCCAGGTACAAAACACTCACACACTGTCGTCGTGAGCATGAATCGTTTCGTCCACTGGTAACTTCCTATTTGATGTTGGGTAAGCTGACGGTGTGGAGCAGCCTCCCCCCTTGTTCGATTGATAGTGCAGTGTCGGGAATCTTATCTACGCAATAGGGCCGAACGGCAGCAGAGGATTGTTTCTTCTTCTTTTTTGGCACCGAGATGAATGAACTTCACGGGCTATGCGGGTTCATGCAGCTTCCCTGTATGGCTCTCGGCAATGCATCCTCGCTTGCGATTGCGATGATGGGCATGTTCTTCCGGGCTGCGTTGCTTCATCCCCAACCGTCACAACGACTGCCCGGTTTCTAATATGCACCCTGTCACAGTGGAACAGTTGCATGTGATTGTGCTGTAGCCTAATCGACAGACCAATGTGCTCCAATATTCCAGGTCCAAAATTTTCGGGACGATCTTCCGGATTTTCACGTCCAAACTCATCCTTCTATGCAAACTCCACTGATCATCCTTGGTGGAATCTGCACAGCTTCGGTACCTGACGATCACTGGCATCCGACAAGATGAGCTGAAACAAGTTGAATCCTTTGCAAAACGAGCGTCACTTCATGCGGTCTAATAACTCCATCATGCATGCCGTTTGAACAGAGCACCGTAGGAGTAAGAGTCACGAATTTGCAACTCTCTTTCGACTAATCGGCGTGCGGAGGGGTGATGTGGTTAGTACATGCCCGTCACTCGTCTACCTTCAGGGAATCGTTTCACTCTCCGAAGAATTTTTGTATTAGCAAATGTGCTCATCCCAATACAATACCTTAGACTGTGTTGATCCCTCACAGGACTAAGAGCGGGCCGTACCGACTGGATATTCGTATGTCATTCATCTCACCCGATCGGCGGATTCACACAGCTGGGCGTTCTAGCTCTCAATAAACTATCGTCATCTGGGCAGAAGTAAGATGCATCTTGATGTTCAAGAGTGCAACTTAGCTCAGCCACCGAATGGCTACAGCCTGCATCAGGATGAGAGGTCTCGTCAGTCTTCGACAGGCGTACATACGACGAGAGCAACGAGATTATATTCTACAAATTAGAGCAGAATAAAAGATACAGTGAAACAAATCAACATTAGTCCTTGGTGAATACCTCCGCATCCTCTTTGACAACTTCGCCGTGGGATTGGCCCGGGAAGAATTCCCTTCTGTCCTCGGTGTATCCACTGTGGTAAACAATTAGCAGCCATAGACACAGATTCATCACGACGAGTTGTACGTACAAGATAACGTCAATCTCATCCAAAGTCTTGCCCTTTGTTTCAGGAAGAAAGAAAAAGGCCCAAACAGTGGCTAGGAGCATCCAGGAAGCAAAGAAGAACCAGGTGCCGTAGCCAAGAGAGCTGAAAATGTACGGCAGAGCCTTGGTAATGACAAACTGGGTGAGCCTGCATTTTGTGATCATAGGTTAGCTGCGGCCATGTACGGTGAGTCAAAAGTATGCTCACCATTGGCAGAGAGCTGCCCATGTTCCGGAAAAATTACGCAGAGCCCCCGGAAAGATTTCGGCCGCGACGATCCATGGAATGCCGTTCAGGCCAAATGACCAGCTACATAGAAACGAGTTGGGTTAGCAGGGGTCTGGAAGGCATCGGGCTTTTTGCTTGGGTTGGCTTACAAGACGGAGTATATCATAATCATGCCGGTTGCGGCTTTGCCCCCCGCCGCGGTGGACGGCGAAAGCTCCTGTCCGGCTTTAATAATGTCCGCCGGATGTCCGATCTTGACGTATGCGCCAATGATCCAAAGACAAATGGAGCAGGCAATAGAGGAGAGGATAGTGGGATGCCGACGACCCCATATATCGATCAAGAACACGTAGAAAATAATCGAGGCAACCGCCTTGACAAGACCGTAGATGCCAGTGTATAGGGAGACATCCTGGATTCCAAGGGAGGCAAAGAGTGTGGGCGAATAGTAGTTGATGGCTGTATTCGGTATTGGTAAGCTAGAGAGCATCTTTCACGAGTTTCATGCCTTACCTGCAGCCCCAGACATGTTTTGCAGGGCAAAGGAGCAAAAGACCAAGATGATGCGATTCCGCATGCCCTTTCGCGACAGCTCATATAGAGCTCCACGAAACAGTGCCCACGACCCTGTGCCGTATCTGCTCGCAATGTTGTTTTCTTCCAAAATTCGACCTCGAATCATCTCTACGTCCTGTTGCAGGTCTGCGCCCTCCTCGAGTTAGCTGGCTTCTTCCCATTTATGTCAAGGCCACTTACACTCGTGATCTCGAGGGATGCGTCGAATTTCCTCCAGCGCCTTGGTTCCGTCTTCAACCCTATCTTTCCTAAAAAGCCATAGCGGACTTTCATGAAGCATGACACCTCCAATAAGTAGCATGCCGCATGGCACAATTTGGATAGCCATGGGGATACGCCACGAGGCTGTGGAATTTACATCCATGGTCTGATTGATGCCGTAGTTGATCCAGAAGCCAATCACCGAGCCGAGCTGGTAGGCGATTTCGAAAAGGCCGGTGAGGATTCCGCGAATCGAAGGAATGGAGAGCTCTGCGATGTAACTCGGAACAGTCGCAGTAATGCCGCCACAAGCAAGGCCGGTAAGGACTCGACCAGCATCTTTACATCCAAAGTCAGCCTGGAATGGACATACAAAGGCATAGAACTTGGATGAAATATGACCAGACTTACAGATGTTAGACAGAGAATGGGTCGCTGCTGTCATTATGACTGCGCCAACGAGGAAGACGACGTTGGAGATGAAGAGCGCCCACTTTCGGCCGACCTTTTCCGTGACTGTTTTTCCAAAGTCAGCATTCTACGCCCATGTATGGTTCAAAGTCTTCTTGAGACCTACTGAAGAAGCAGAAAATGGCACCGAAAAAGGCACCGGCCTGGAACGCAGAGGTGATATTGCTCGAGATGCTGTTGGCATCCGCTGGCGAAATGTGAAAGTCTCTCTTGAAGCTGGCACGAGCAATCGTCGTCCCGATGAAGGCTCCATCATAGCCAAAGCTGATTTACTCGAGCATTAGAACAAGATCTCATTTGACTTTCAACAAGAGGCAGAGGACTCACAGCAGAGAACCGGTAGCGATGATGGCGGTTTCGAGGTATAGGCGCCAGTTGTACACCTCCTTCGGCGTCGGTCTATCTTCAACCGCGCGAAATCCGCCCATGGTGAATAATGATGGCAGGCCTTTCGTTCCGCAGTTGATATGAAATCTGTGCAATAGTAGATCTCGAGGCCATCTAGAAGCCAGCAGAGACAAACGACAACTGGAAACCGCCTATGATATATGAAAGTCTTGCGGTCTGTCTCTCATGCTGTTCACCTTCGTACCATCGGATCTGGCGAGAAAGATGGTGGGGTCTTCGCCAACTAGCAGAGAATATCCGGGGGATTGTCCCTGTCGAACCGTTTACGCGATACCCCAGCTTTTGGCGAGTGGCGTCGTGCGGGGGAAATGCGGAGGCACACGAAGAACGGAAGATCAGCCCTTCGAAGGAAACGAGAACATCGTCTCTCCGTCGAGTCACGAGTGCCTTTACAAATTCTGTCGGCAAAGGCTGGGGTTATTCAAGCCTTCTTTGTCTTAGAACAAGAGGCCTACGTGGTTTGCCGACGGTTTATGGCTGGTGGCGCAGCGCTATGGAAAGAGAAGTGGCGAAGATGAGGCCAATGTGGGTGGAAAGTGGGTGATGGAAATAGTAGCTAAGCGACGTACCCGACATCCGAGCCGATCGGCTTCCTCCGTGAGTCGACATGACCTTGGGGTTTGTTCATGGAATCGTTGGCCACATAGAGTGAGAGTGAGTCTATGACTATTGAGATCAGCTGTGCTCCAAGTTCGGTAGCGAGATGTCATTAACCAGTCCAAGTAACATACCTGACAAGGTAGGCTATGGGTCGTGGGAAAGGTAAGGTAAGGTAGCCTGCCATATCATGTTTGCATTGGCTCACAAGGGAGAACAGAGCAAGAGTGAGACCAAAGCCAGTATCATCAACAATTACTGCGGTGACCTAGGTAGTTCAATAGTGCCAGCGTACGGTCAAAGTTGCGAATGCCTTCTCTCTTTATGAACACGCCTTCTACAAGACCTTTCTACAAACCTTGTCCGCGCCTGTTCGCCATCATAAAGTCTCCAGCGGAATGCTCTTCTCCGTCTCTTTCAGGACTCCGACCACTCCAACGATCCATTCCTGCTGCGCAACGTTGTCAAACCTGGGATACGGCCGACGGCAGTGACAGCTCTCCTCTGGATAGCCTCGCAGCTTCGCCACTACCCATTTCGTCCCGTTAATGCCGCCTTTGGCGAAGCCCCATTCTGTCTTTGCGAGCTCAAGCTGCAGTGCTGTAGCCTCCTTCACCTTTCCTGCAACAAAGAGTTTGTAGATTTGTATACATGTCTTTCGTAAGCGCAGGAAATCGTTAGCCTCAGTACCTTCTGACAAGCTCAAACAACCAACGAATCTTCACCAGTCTCACCTTGGGATAGAGGTTCGCTACACCAGTAATGGTACCAGTACCTCCGACAGATAAAGCCGGCACCAGCCAGTCGCTCTGACCAGCAAGGGCACTAAATTTGTCTGGAGTATATGAGGCAGCAATCCGGGAAACCTTGGCAATGCCGCCACATGTGAGCTTCACACCGACAATGTTCGGATGCTTGGCCAAGCGATCGAGCATTTCCGAGTCGACATCGAGTCCGGCGACAACAGTAGGATAGTTGTATATCACGACAGGAACCGGGCTCGCATCGGCTGCCTGTCGCGAACTTTGCCGTTAGCATTTGCCTCCCATGTCAGTTGGTTTAGATGAAGACTGTTTCATACTTCTTCGAAGAATGCGACGATACTGTCCTTGGTCATTGCAAAATGAAAATAGCTAGGCACAAGCATCAGCACGAAATCTGCGCCCGCTTCTTTGGCCAGTTTCGTTTCTGCAATGACATCTCGTGTGCACTGCCCAGAGCATCCAACAGTGATGGGGATGTCCGGTCTTCCAGCTCGAGTAGCAACGCGGCGTGTCATGGTGATGAGCTTAAGCTTTTCATCTTGAGTCAACGTCACGGCTTCGCCGTTGGTGCCCGCGATGACAACTGGACGTCGTCCGCATTAGCTGCTAACATTTGATCGTTAGATGTATGGGTATGCCCTTACTGCCATGAAGACCGGAGCCAATGAGGAAGGTCAAGTGTCTCTCTTGTAACTCCCAGTCTACTTCTTGAGAGGCGCCGTTGGTGAACCAGGTGAGACTGGGCACATGGATGCCAGGCGGAAATGCCCTGGCTGCTTGCTGTGACGAGCCCATGGTTGTATAAGAGCGGGCCAAAGAAGAATGAAGGTATTAATTGGAAGGGAATAGAACCGTGAAGCCTGAATGAGCTGTCTTTTAATGCTGGAGATGCTATTCAATGCCTTATATACCGCTTCATGAAAGACGATATGAGAGGAATGTATACACGCATCAATTGAGGAACCCGAGAGTCCATTCTGTCCCCAGATGGAGTCAGATTGGATCTCCTTTGCTCAGCATCCAATAAATCGTCCATCGAAGCGCCTCACACCAATCCAACTCGAAGCGATGGGCGTGGAGAAGCCGTTGCCGACGAGAGGCTATTCCCGACATTGCCGACCCGACGAGCCACCACCATTGCCAACTTGGTAGCGATGAAATCACAAGATGGCAAAGCAGGAATTAAAGACCGCATGCATCACAGATCGAATATCCGCCCGAGCCTTGGACGCCTCCTGACGAGCCTGCACCTCCTCCAAGACCCGCGCCGTGATCCTCGCATTCCCAGCAACACCCTCCATCCGCACAATCTGGGCTCGAATCCACGCCCTCTCCTCCGGATCCTGCTCCTCCACGCCTAGCATCAGCAGCGGCCAGAGCATGTTCACCGGTAGCGAATCCTCAGGAGCCAGGTCCGATGAAATCTGATGCGCCAGCTTGCGAATCTGCCCAAGCGCATCGGTCGCCTCCTTGGTCAGGGGGAGGTGTTTGTACGCGACGCGATGGAGATGCACTTTGCTGGCGTAATAATTGGACAAGTACGTGCGGAATGCTCTGGTGATGGTGAATGCCAAGTTTGCTGATATGTGAGGCTCCGACAGCTTGCCCGCAACGGCGTAGTCCATCAGCGGCGGCCGCTGGTCATACAACGTTCGCAGATCCGTGGCAATGGAGGCGCCAATATTCATGACTTCGATCTCGTCTTCCACGGTGCCTCTTGACCGATGCCAAGGATCAATCTTAGAGATGCGACCCATGAAGCTCTGCACCTTTTGGAAAAAGACGATGCCGGGTTGATAGAGGACTTGAAACAGGACGTCCTCGACATCATCGCTGGCAGCGTCGGGGCTCCTCGAAGTCTCATCCGTCTCGGCGTCGAAACTCGCAGGCGAGGCCTCTACGAGTTCAATTCCATCGTCTTGAGATAGGAACAGCCCCTCGCCCCCGGCCGACACCGCGCGAGCATCCAACAGCCGAATCCAAAGAAGGACTTGCTTCTCGACATGGGAGAACGAGGCTTTATCCCCCTTTTGAAGAATATTGTACGCTTGTTTCAGGTATCGATGAGCCGTATCGAGCCTGGATTCAATGATTTCAACATAGCTCAAGAAGAATAAGGCGGCGAGCAGGCATTCGCGTGCTAGACTATGTCCAGTGAGAGAGTCGTGGCCCTGGGCTTCCACTTCCATGGTCGCTTCGTGGTAATGGCTTTGGTCGTCAAAGGTCGACGACGGGTTACTCCGACATATCAGAGTATTTGAGAATGCCAATATGGCGCAGCGCAGGACGCGAGAACTCTTTGACATTGCGACGAGGCCTTGACGAATGGAGAACCATTTCCTCTGGGACTCAACCCCAGCAAGGATTGGCGGAGTGGCAGATTTAGCAAAGAACTCCATGAGTCTCTCGCTTGAAGTAGAGTTAGTTTGATCTAAATTTTGGTCTCCGTTGTTCTGAATCGCCTCAGCGTCTTGGAACGGAGTCATGATGAGATGATCCGCATGATTGTGTGCATACGAACTGAATTCCTAAGAGGCCGTCAACAACTTTCCCTCTCTTCAGCCTTGCTTCCTGAGGAGACGAGAAATGGATAAATCGTCTTGAATAGCAGATGCACCAGCGTTAGCAGCCGAACTGAAGGACACTTACCACCTCATTCGCGGGCATTGCAAGGCTGGTCGCCATGTCAGGGCTCTCTTGCTGCCAAAGACTACTGCTGGGATCCCACATGAAGCTCGCATAGTCAAACACCTCGTCCATAGCCTGCAGCGTCCGCAGCCCCGATGCGGTTGGTGATGGGTCAGTAGACGGCGATAGAGCCAGCTGATGACTCGACGATGTGGCGCTCTCGCCATTGGTGTCCTGTCGCGGCTTTGCTAACGCAGCAGCGTGATGCGGTCGCCATTTGCACTCTAGATTCAGACGCTCGCAATGGGAGCACCTTGGCCGCTGTTCATCGCACTTTACTTTGCGGCGCCTGGTTCGTTCGCAAAGATAGGTGTGTTAGCAGTGCACTGAGTGTTATAAAGATCGTAGAAGTTGCCCTAAGACAGGACTCACTTGCAGGTCAAGCATCCGCATCGCGACCTGTTGTAGCGCCTAGTTGGCCCAGAGCGTCGTGGAGAGACTGCGTTCATATCGTCATCCCGGAGAGAGAGCAGGCCTGACAAATTGATGAATCATATATCGCTTTAGCTAATCATGAAGCACCCTAGAATGCATCTTTTCGAGTGGTAAAAGGGAGGAATATGGCGTGAAGTGATGACACGGCTAGTACACGAAAGCTGGGGAAACAGATGGGGAAATCATGCACCCCAGGCTGGAGTCTAGGCAAATGGAGTTAGTAACACCGCGAGTTGAACCCATTTACTTCATCATGTGACGCGTTCGCAGTCAAGGTGATAACAAGCAATCTTCATGGCATTCGTTGCGTAGATTCAGTCACCGAAATACATGCTGATGAGTCGGTGTAGACGCGAATGGCGACAGAGTACAAGAAATTATCGCAGGATACCTACCTTAGGTCTCATACAGTCCTCTGCCTAGCAAGCACTCAACTGGTAGACTGCAAAGGGTTACCGTATTCCGTATTCGACACTGTGTTTTGTCCAGTGTCGGTGGGCTACATACCTATGCAACTGCTTACTACTGTACGTTTTCACACATTGAATGGCTCGTCTCATAGGCCAGTCATGCCGGTCTTTCTCAGTCAAGGCAAGTATACAAGAACAATGAGCATAACTCACGTACACCTCGTAAGTTCACAACTTTGTCTTCACACAAACCCCAATCGCTCGTACATACCAAATCCAGAAACGTGAACATCTGATCAGCCATTCAGGTCCCGATTTCGGCTTTTGCTTACCTCCCCCTTACCCTCCCCCATATCGCCGACGGCCATTATACTCAACTCTGCCCCGCCACCAGATTACCCGATTAGGAAACCTGTGATGCCGTCAGGCCGTCGTTTCAGGCATTCACTTTCAGAGCAAAGTTGTATTTAAGTCGCGACAATTCTGGCTTTCTGACAGAATCTTTCCAATCCAGAATTCATCAGCATTCTCAGCAATCTTCACCAACCCTCAATCCATTATCAGTTCCAAGAATTTCCAACCAAAAAAAAGCAGAACTCCCTTCTCTACCACCTCGTCTCCCCTCTTATACCACCTCCAAGTCTCTGCCTGATTTCTCAACCTCAACCTGAAGCCTCGCCGCCTCGAGGTGAGCCTCTGCTTACGTCATCCCGTCCAACCCTCATCACCACTACAACGCCGACATGAATTTCCTCCTATACCTTTCATCAGCATTTTATCTGATATTTCTAAATCAATACGCTGTCGCTAACATATCGACTCGTCAGCCCATCAATATGTCGGCAAATGAAATCAAACAGAACGGCTGGACCTCTGTCCCCCTGGATCCAAGCAAGCTGTTCGGTGGTGAACCCTTCAAGAACCGCCCGGGGCCACTCCTCGTCGCCGACATCAAGTTCCCGGATGACGATCCTATCGTTGCCAAGGTCCAGAACTATGCCAAAGAAAAACTGCCTGTCCAAACTTTCAATCACAGCATGAGGGTCTTTTATTTCTGTATGCATCTTCCAACAACTTGAGCACAGTATATAACTAACATTGTACAGCAAGCGCTATCATCAAACAACAATTCCCTGAGCATGCAGAGACCTTCTCGCCCTCCACTCTCGCCCTGACCTCCCTCCTTCACGACATCGGCACCGCCGAGGAAAACTTGGCTGCCACACACATGTCGTTCGAGTTCTACGGAGGCTTCAAGGCCCTCAACCTCCTCCTGGAGCTGGGAGCCTCCAAGGACCAGGCCGAAGCCATCGCTGAGACCATTATCCGTCATCAGGACCTCGGCACGGTCGGAAACATCACGTTTCTCGGTCAAGTCATCCAGTTGGCCACAATTTATGACAACGTTAGCGACCACCCGTACCTGAAGAACATTACGGAAATCATTCACACCGACACTCTCATGGATGTGATGAAGGCTTACCCTCGTCTGGGGTGGCTCGGGTGCTTTGCGGACACCATTGATCGCGAAGAGAAGCTCAAGCCGTGGTGCCACAGCACTCACATTCCCGACTTTGCTCAGGCCATTCGCAACAACACCTTTATGCAGCCATATGAGACTTAAAGTACTTCAATTATGCTGAGCCATGCTGCAAGCCTGTCATAAGCAAAGGTCAATAGGTATCGTCAAGAGATGGAGAAATGTAAAATGTCATTCGTTTATTATCAGCTAGCAAATCAATGCAATCCCTCATCGACCACATTCCTCGTCGCATATTACTAATTCTATCTTCAGCACCTTCGCGTGCGCTGAGTGATGGGCTACCTGCGCTCGTGTACTAGCTTCTCATGTCGATCAAGACTTTTATATGAACGTCTTGTGACCCTGAATTGACTGAAGTAAGCCGTCATTGGCAGAGCGCAACAAGACAATTGAAGAGGATTGATCACGTCAAGAGAAGTACATTGCTTCTCAGGCACAAGTACGCTCATGAAATAGTATTGGAGACTGTATTTTCATCTCAGAGCTCCCTAAAGAGGATAGGGTAGAAGTCTGCCTCTAATACAACTCTCACCAAACTGTATAAGAATGGTTGCATTTATCTACTGAACTGCATGGAAAGGAATTGCAAGGAGCGCCCGAGGAGCGTAAGAGAGGCCGGCCTAAGACGTTAAGATAGATGATTGATAGAATGTTGAGGGTATTCACCTTCGAGTCCGCTTCCGAGCTCCAAACAGCCATGTTATCATTATAAGTCAAACAGCACTAAAACCTAGCACATACGACCATAGGTAGAGGAGAACTCGGGGTCCCGTCTGCTCCCCCATAGATAAGCCTCTAACCGGCAGATTAGTAGTTGGGTGGGTGACCACCAGCGAACACCGGCTGTTGTATGTTTTTGCCCTTTTTTATGTCTTTCTTTTCTTTTTTTTGCTTGCCTTGTTGCTGTCCTCTCAAGTGGGTGACTTGCTAACATCTTCCGGTGGGTTTCGGGGGCATTGTATGGAGATATCTCCTTCAACTGATTGTAACTCATGATCGATCTTCTCCAACGACGTCTCTTATGCAGGGTGTACTATCGACTGTGTTAGAATTCGCAACATGCCGGCTTGGCATCGAATAGCGGTGTAGTGGTCTCACTTTACCGTAACACATGAAGCCTATGCTGCCGGTGGCCAAGAGTGAACAGGACCATGGCTGGTTACCCAAGAGATCGTGTGCTATCCGCCACGATTTCTGAGTTGCACACATGCAAATAGGTTATATATGCTACCAGCAGACAGTGAGACTAGCATTATGGATCCTACTCGAGCTTACCACACACTTCTTATACCCCGGAGTTCTCGATCCTGATACAGAGAGTAGATACGACGCTTTTGCAACGGCCGTCAACAATGACTTCCTCTATCCAGGAGATCATTCTGGCTCCTTATCTCTCCGATCCTTCCTCTCCGGAGGGCCGCGAGGTCGTTCAAGGCGTGTACAACGCAGCCTCAACATGGGGCTTCTTCCTACTGACCAACCCACCTATGACGCAAAGTCAGCAAACAGTCCTCCTAGACCCAGCCAAGCAATTCTTCAACCTCCCCCTAGTCGAAAACAAGGCCCTCAAATAGTCTTGTTCCGCTGCTTCAAGTACACTCCGTCAAATGAAGCTATGGAAGCGGATCACCCAAAGCAAACCTTTGGAAAAGGCGAATACACGGACTTTGGCTATCTGATTATTCTACAGGTCGACTCGCCTGGTCTTCAGGTACATGTTTGACCAAACCACACACGGTCGCTTCCGCTCACGCCCACACCGCGTGTAGCGCCCAGCTCCCGGCTCGCCTCCCCGCTACTCGTTCCCCCTGCTCTTCGACTTCGCCTGGAACGCAAAGATGCAGTGCATCTCTCTCAACCATCTGCCGCCGCTCACCGGGGACGAAGAGAAACTCGCTCACAAGCACTGGGCGAGCACGACTTTCCGACAGGTCGAGGGCACACGGGCGCAGGATCTTGCCAGGAAAGTGCAGAAAGTGTTTCCAGATCAGAATCTGCCTGATTTTGAGCCCAATTCCGCCTTCGACGAGGTTCAAGAGGGTGACCAAAGTATAGAACTGTGACGCTGTGCTGATAGTGTTTGTTCATGTCACACGTGCCCTAGCACGTGATCTAGATATCAGGACTAATAGCCTATAACGCCAGCAGGAAGTCTATTTATTTATTTTCCTTTTTTCTAAATAGCCTTAGTAGCTCTAGCTATTTTATAATACTAGAGTTTTCCCTAGTTTAAGGTTTAATAAGTTATAAGCCCTTAGCTTTTATTACTAAATTACTTAATTTTATTATTATTTTATAACTTTTTTAATAATTATTATTACCTTATTTTAAATGCATTTATTAATGCTATTTATTATTATTTTTTTATTATTATTTTATAACCTTTTTTTATTAACTTTTTTTAACCTTTTAAACCTTAATAGTCTCTTTATTTTTTATAACTTTTATTATAAATAATAACTAGATTATTAAGATCTTTATTCTTTAATCCTTTATAAGATAACTCTTTATAAGATAACTCTTTATAAGATAATCCTTCTTTAAGAAATACTATAATAGTATAATTTAATAGCACTATTATAAATATATAGAATATATAAAGTTTAATAGCTAATAATATATTTAATAAGGCCCTTAGTAGTCTTAAAGCTAACTTCTTCTTTTTTATAACTCCTTTAAAAGGTCTTAATAACTAGAATATATAGTATTAAAAGCTTAAGATTAATATATTATTAATAAGAATTTAAAATATTATTAAAGGTATTAAAGTTAACTTAGCTAATTTTAAAAACCTTATTATTATTATTATTAAGAGGATTATAATATAAAAATAAAAAAATATAATAGCTATAGGATTTATTATTAATAGCTTATTTACTTAGATTTAAATAAAGCTAAATTATAAAGGCTTTAATAATAATAACTTTATAATAAAAGATTTACTTATTATAATAAAGACTATTATTTTTAAAGCTTTAGCTAAAGAAGCCTTTATAATAATCTAGGAATTTAATAAACTAGATTAAAGCTAATTTATAATACTTAAAGCTTATATATTAGCTTTAATAAAAGCTTAAATAAAAATTTAATATAAGTATTTTAATATACTTAAAGCTTAGTTTATAACTATAGCTTTAATTAGCCTTAAATATATAAATAAAAGCTAATATAAGCTTTAGATTATTAACTTTTATTAAGGTAAGGAGATTAATAAAAATAAACTTATTAAGTTCTTATACTTATAAGCTAATAAAAAAGCCTATAATAAAAAGAACTTTAATACTTTTAAGTAGACTTTATTATTTAATAATAATAATAAAAATAAGGCTTTTATTAAAAATAACTTAAAGACTAAAAAGCTAAAATATAATTATATTATTAAAGACTATTATAAACCTTATAAGCTAAAGTAATATTAATAACTTTATTTTAAACTTTATTTTAAAAACTTTAAGGACTTTTAATAAGGCTTTTATCTTAGCTTTAGCTAAGGCTATTAAGGCTTTTTTTAATAAGAAAATACTTAAAAAAAGAATAAGTTTATTAAAAAATAATAACCTTTTAAAAAAAATGCTAATATTATAAAAGCTAGTTAATTATTTTTAAGTATAACTATTATATTTAATACCCTAGCTATTATAAAGTTAATTAAAGATAATAATAATAATATTATTAAGATTATATATTATAAAGGATTAAGCTATAACTTTAATTTTATTTTTATAAACTATAGTATTAGTTATAATAATATTATAATTAACTTAAGCTATAACCTTTACTACTTTAATAACCTAAAGTAGTTTATTTTTATTTAAATAATTAATAATACTAATATAATATTTACCTTTAATAGCAGTATTTTAAAAACTAAAAGTATAAGTATAATAATAATCCTACTACTTAATAATAAAGACTTAATATTAAAAAATATTATATACTTACTTTTAATAATAGTAAATATATTTAGTTTAAGGACTTTTAAATATAAAAATATCTTTTATAACTTTATTAATAATTAACTAGTTTTTTAAAAAGATAATTAAGTTATTTTTATTATTAAAGTTTTTTAAAAGTATAATATTATTATTTTTAAAACTCTTTTACTATTAATTAATAAATACTATAACTTTATTATATTATTTAATAAAGCCTTTATTAAAAATATAAAATTTAGCCTTATATATAAAAGACTAGGCTATATTAATAAAGACTAAGTGCTAAAAGCTTACTATTACTTAAGGATTTAAGTAAATATAATAATATTAGTAGATTTTTATTATAAGGCTTATTATTTAGCTAAATTTAAGGCTATTATTAGCTATATATTATTAATAAAGCTTATAAAGTTCTTTTAGTATATTTTTTAAAATACTATTTTTTATATACTTATTAGCTATAAAAGATTTAAAATCTTACTTTATAATATTAATACTTATATTAAGTATTAATAGCTAATTCTTATTACTTTTTATAAAAATACTATAAAAAAGCTATATAACTAGAAAAAATAAATAAAAATCTTTAATAATAGCTATAAAATATAAGTTATAGCCTTTAATAATATAGCTAAATTTTTAAGTAATAATATTTAAAATTAATTTTATAAAAATAGCTTTATTTTAAAAACCTTAATAGCTTATACTTTTAAATAAAATAGTATAATTAAATATATTAATAAAACCTTTATAAACTTAGCTAAAGTAACTTACCTTAAAGTTAAATTATTAAAAATACTATAGCTATTATATATAAAAGCTGCTATTTATACTTATAATATACTTTTAACCTTATTAAATAAAAAAAAAATCTTTTTATTAAAAAAGATATTTAATATTATTTAAGTTAATTATAATTATAATATTAAATATATTAAAATTTAAGAATATATAGTATATATTAAAAAGAATAATAATTAAAAAGTTAAAAGTATAAAAATATAGCCTAAAGCTACTAAAGGATTTTTTATTAAACTAGAAGGTCTTTATAATTATTATATAAAGTTTATTTAAAAAATAAAAATAAAGTTATTAAATTATAAAATATATAATTTTAAAAAACTAATAATAAAGCTACTGCTAATAAACTTATTATAAAATATAAAGTAGTTTTTATTAACTTTAAGATTAAAAAAGGTAGCTAGATAATAATTAGCTAAGTAGCTAAATAATAATAATATATTATAAATCTAAGACTTATTACTATTTAAAAAATCTTAAAAGCTAATTAAAAAGCTAATATTAATAATTTTATATATTTTAAGGCTAATAATAATATTAATAATATTCTTTAATAATAACTTTAAGACTAATTTAATAAAAGAAGGTATTTTTAAACTTTAAAACTTACCTTTTAATATAAGATATAAAAAAATATACCTTTAGCTAATTAAGAATACTATAACTTATATAACTATTATTTAATTAAGCCTAAAGTTATTTATATAGCTATAGCTGCCTTTAAACTTTAAGCTATTAATATTATTATCCTTACCTTTTAAAGTCTTATACTATTAACTAAGATTATAATTAATTCTGCTTAATAAGTTAAAATAAGCTAGTTAATTAATATAAATATAAAGTAATAAAAGCACCTTTTATAAAGACTTCTTTATATTAATTATAAAGTATTATATAAAAGTAAAGGAAAAAAAGCTATAATAATAATTAAAATTATTAAATTATATAAATAAGATTAAGTTATTAAAAAATAGCTAAACCTTATAATTTTTATTACTTTAAAAGTTTAATAATAGTTAAATAAAAGTATAAATATCTTAAAGAATTAGTATAATATTAAAAAAAAAGCCTAATTATAAAATTAAATAGTTTTTAATTATAAAAAAATAATATAATAATCTTTTAAAAAAAAAGACCTAGTTATTAATTAATTTATTAAAAAATATTATTATTCTTAATAATAAATAAATATATAATAAAAAGTATTTTATTAATAAAGACCTTATAGTAAAGGCATGCTTTATAATATAAAAAAACTAGCTATAAAGAATAAACTATATAATAAAAAATATTTATATTATTATAGCTTATTTAGCCTTAATTAAAGTCTTTTACTTTATTATTACTATTAATAATCTTAAATAGTAATAATTTAATATTATTATTATATTTCTTAATATTAATATTTAAGATAAAGTATATATATATTAGCCTTAAGAGTTTAATAATAAATTTAATTATATTTATTATTTATAAAAAGCCTTATATAATTACCTTAAAGTACTATTATAATAGTTTAAAAAAGTTATATAGCTACTAGTTATTATAGGCTTTAAGCTACTAGAATTAAAACTTTATATTTTTAAATATAAAGATAGTATTATTTTAATTTTATATATTAATAATATAATAATTATAGTATTAAAGATATTAACTATTTATAATATAATAATATAACTTAAAAGTCTTTTTAAAATTAAAAAACTAAAGGATATAAAGGTCTTTTTAAGCCTAAAGGTTTATAAAGACTAAAAGAATAAAATAATTACCTTTATATAAAAGTCTTATATTAAGAAAGTTATTATTAAATTTATATTAATAATTTAAAATATTAATAAAACCTTATAGCTATTTAAAAAGTAGCTTTTTTATAACTAAAAGATAATAAAAGCTATTATACTTATAAAAAAATAATTTAAATATATTAAAAGCCTTAACTTTATCTTAATAAGTACTAGACTTAATATAACCTATATAACTTAAAAGATATATAAAGCTAATACTAATTTTATAATATATTATAAAAAAATAATATAATATCTTTTTTATTATTTAAAAAGTATTATTAACTTAAGTATTAAACTAAGTAATAAATATTAAATTAATAACCTTAACTTAAAGGTTTATATAAATACTGCTTTTATAAATAACCTAGCTAAATAATTTAATATAGTAAGCTATATTATAATAATTAAAAATAAACTAGTTTTTTAAAAAAGTAAAAAGTAAATTATTATTATTATAAGCTTTATTAAAGTAAAGTTTATAAACTTAACTTTAGCTAAAATATTAGCTATTTAAATTAAAAAGATTTTTAATAACCTTAATATTAATAACTAAAAGCTAATAATCTTTTATATTAATTCTTAAAATATAAGAATTATTATTTTAAGTAAATATAATATAACTTAAACTAAATATATAAATATATAATATAAGTAAATAATTAACTATATAAAAAGAGGTAATTTTAAAATATAATAAATTATTACTTAAGAAATAATAGCTAATAGCCTTATAAAGCCACTTACTAAAATTAAGTATACTAAATTTATAAAGCTCTTAAAGATAGTTATTCTTACTTAAAAAGCTTATAACTTATATAAAGGTTCTTGCTTTTTTATATTATTATAAGAAGTTTTTCTTACTTTCCTACCTTATAATATAAAAGGACTTATAATAGCTTTACTTTTAAAGCCTAAGAGCCTTAAGCTTCCTCTTATTTTATCTTTTCTTATATTTTTATTATTTTTTATTCTTCTTTCTTTATTTAGTAAAATAGATTTATAATAAAGAAACTTATAAAATAAAAGGCATACTGCTTATAGCACTAACTTTATAGCTTAACCAGCCCTTAAGTAACACTTTATCTTAAAGAAGAGGTTATCTAGACTTAGTAAAGTGCATTAACTATACTAAAGTTATTAATTTTATAAATAGTAAGACTACTAAAGGTTAAATATACTCTAAGCTAGCCTGCTATAAGGCTTTTATAATATATATCCTATTATTTATTAAGGCAAAGATGCCTTATTTACTAATAAGCTTTATACTACTAAATGTTATTTTTATTAAGTTTAATTATAGCCTTTATAGTCTTAAGGGGGATGTATTATATATGCTTTAGTATATAATCTAGATATTAAGACTAATAGCCTATAATGCTAGCAGGAAGTCTATTTATTTATTTTCCTTTCTTCTAGATAGCCTTAGTAGCTCTAGCTATCTTATAATACTAGAGTTTTCCCTAGTTTAGGGTTTAACAGTTTATACAAGCGATTGGTTCGGGGTGCACAGATTGTACGCTCTTAGAACTCTGGAGGTATCATAAAGTACAGTTATATGCCTTTCAAGTTATGAGTTCAGCACAGATCAAGTATTTGCAGCAGCAACTCTACTCCGCTATTTGCGCTGGCTTTCCCTCCCACGCTCGTCTCAGCAACTCACGAATTAAATCACCCTCAATAGGCCTGGGACTCCAAAATGGCTTCTTGAGCAGAGTTGTCACCGCCAAGTCAATGTCTTCCTCCTTCAAGCCGAGGTCTCCCAAACTGTACGTGATGCCTAGCTTGGACAATAACCTGTTCAGGCCATTGACAGCGTTCCCTTCGCTGTCAGGAATATTCTCAGCCAATACCTTCATCGTCTCCGGAATGCTCGGAGCCAGATATGCCACCGCATGAGGCAAAATGATAGCATGCGTCTCTGCGTGAGGTAGGTTGAATGTGCCTCCGAGGACGTGGCACAGCTTGTGATGCAGGGAAACGCCCACTCCAGCAAGACATTTGCCGCAGAACCAGGCGCCGAGCAGGGCATCTGAGCGAGCATCGACATCCTGCGGGTTCTGCATGATTCGAGGCAGAGATGTGGCCAACGTTTGGATACCCTTGACGGCAAACATGCTTGCGATTGGGTTGCCATCTTGTGCGTACAAAGCCTCCACTAGCATGAGTTACTTGTGTGAGTGACTCTGGCTTGCTTGTTGTGCATGAATCAGAAGGACTTCTTTATAACATACCAGCATGCGCCATGGCGTTCAGGCCGCTCGTCGCACTTATCTTGGCAGGCAATGTCAGGGTCAGATTCACATCATAAATGACGACCGCCGGTATCGCCTTTCGATCAACATGCGTCGTCTTGACCCTGTTTTCCGTCTGGCCCACGATGGGTGTCATCTCGCTGCCCGCATACGTAGTCGGAACAGTGATATGAGGCAGCCCCGTGCGAACAAACAATGCTTTCCCCAGGCCTACGGCACTCCCGCCGCCGATTGACACGAGACAGTCAGCGTTGACGGATTTGCAGTGCTTCAAGGCGTCTTCGGTGACGTCGGTCGGGGTGTGCATTGTGACTCGCGTGAATGAGCCGGCGATCCGGCCATCTAGAAGAGATGCGATGTCGTCGACATAAGAGGTCTTGGTTGGTGTTGTTAGAATGAGCGGCTTCGAACAGCCAAGTTTGGCGAGCTCAGATGGGAGCTTTGCGAGGCTGTCTTGGCCAAAAAGGACCCTCTGGGTGTTCTCATTGTACTCGAATGATGCCATTTTATAAATGTTCCAGTGTATGTCAGAACCGTTCGTGTGGTGTTCGGGTTGAGCAATAGCAGTTTGTAGCAGCCAGTAGAGCAATTGCCATTGATGATGAACGGCTTGTTTTCTGTGAGAGAGTTATCGCGACATATAAGAGCTACCTAGTAGGTGAGTATTAATAATCTCTTATATGCCGGATCGCCAGGCGCTCGAACCGTATGCACGGGGTGACCAAATGCTGACGCAGTTTCTGTCGTCCTACCGAACACATTCAATTAGCATGTTCCTTATGTTGTGAATCAGCTATGAGTAAGGTCTGGTAAGCCTCTTCAACGCCGGAAAGGATGCCGGTAAACGGCGTTCATTACCGTCGACTTTCATTAATTGGTCTTAGAAACTCCTTGTAAGTTGTCAAGCAAACAGCCATTTCCGACATTTGCTGTCATTACAGGTCTCCTGGTCGCATTTCCCCCGCTTGATCTGAGACATGGGACTCTCGCGATAGGCAGCTTAGAGGAAACGCACCGCGACAAGTTCAAGCGACATGATCGTTCTCCAATTCCTCCTCCACCACCCCGCAAAGCTTCTAGGGCTATATCAAGTTGTCCCTGCAAGGGCCGCATGTCCAGTATGAAGAATACATCCTAGAGCACTGGAAGATGGAGAGACATCATAGGCATCATTATAGTACAAGAATGCAATTACTAATTATATTAGCTTTTGAGATTCGGTATAGATTTTGACTGACCAATCCCAGCAGACAGCAGCAACTTCTACTCACGATTTTGTTCATATGTAGGTTTGGCAACCGGGGTTTTCTCATTCTCCCTTTTCCCATGCTGGATATATCCTCGCCTCTATATTGCTTTCTAGCTCATCAAACATGTTATCACGTCAACTAATCGCCTTACGGCCTATCCAGGACCCCTCCCAAGCTGCCACATGCCACCGAGGCCGGGACGCCACCCACTGCTCTTTCCGTGGCGACATATTCCTCAACAACGGACTTTGTCTCGGCTTGGGTTCCGATGGAGATAGGGGATAGGCGCACAACTCCTGTTGGCTGCAGCCATGCAGCGTGGCCGCCGCCATGTCTGTAGATAGTCAACCGACTCTTTCGCTCTGATCTTGTATTCCTTGCGCGGCCGTGCAGTTTGGGCTATGCATGCGGTCGTGACTTACTCCATTTTTTCACCAGAAGCCCTCTTGTGAACTGGTAGTTGCAGATTGATGCTGGTCCTTTGTCCAGACAAGGACCTGCTGTGTGACCCCGATACCTCAAACTTATCAGATTTCAATTACTCTTGACATAGTACAAAGACTTCTGGAAAGCGTAATACATGCATGTTCAATCGTAAATGAATCACCGCTGGGAAATCGCACCTTAACAACAACCGTCGTAGAATTTCTCCCAGGGCACCTCGTCTGCCCCTCACTCACATCGCGCATTCAGCCTTCATACACCACTTCATTCATCTTCATCCATGCAATTTGATCGATAGAGTCAAGTCTATTGTCATCCCCCCTCTCTATTTTTTCCATGTCCTCGTATAGTCAACATAGTCTATCGTCAATGAACCAAAACCGCAAAACAAAGATCTTTACCCGGGGTCCATCTCATCACGAGAACGAACGCACACAAGAGTCTATCCAGTATCCTTTTTACCCAACCCAATGCGATCCAATAAACCATGACCTCATTCATTCAATTACTGCGCCCAATGCAGAGCTCCGGGGGTCTTTTCATCGGCCACGACGTACTTGCACTTGGTGAAGTTGCTCCAGAGCTGGCCCAGGAAGGATCGCTCATCGCGGTAGTACAGGTCGCCAAGCACGGGCTTGATGGCTTCGGTGGCCTCTCCAGCATAGTAGAAGGGAATGCGACTGAGAAACGTCAGTGAATTGCAAGTAGCAGATGAAAGTTCAGTTGAAGACCTACGGGAAGAGGTGGTGAACAACGTGGTGCTCAATAATGCAGTGGAACAGGTGGCGGCCGACAAAGCCAAATTCGCGGTCAACGGTCGCCAGGGCGCCCTTGACAAAGGTCCAGTTCTCGGCATCATAGTGAGGCACCTCCATGTGGGTGTGGTGCAGGTAAGTGATGGCAACTAAACGTGGCATCTCGTCAGCAATCCTGATCCTGTTTGGCATTGACACGCCATGCTTGCGCCTGTGCCTGCGTTTGCATCTACATGCTTGCAATCGCCCGTGCGTTTGCTTTGCATGTGCGTTTGTTCGGGGAATGAAAACTTACTCAGCCAGTGGTGAACCCAGAAGTAAGGCTGCGCATAGACGAGCAGCATGGTGCCCGTTCCGACAGCTCCCGCGAGCTTGTACAGCGCAAACGCCGTCATGGCGAGGCCGACGTCAGACAGGAAGATGAAAGGAGCCTCGCTGCGGCGGAACACGGCGCTGTTGGGCCCAAAGTGGCTCTTGCCGAACATGGTCGTAGCGGACTTCTGCAGGCTGTTGCGGCCGGCGGAGATGTTGAAGAGCAGGTAGATCTGCCACGCGAAGAGCTGGTGGAACATGAGCGTGACGAACTGGTAGGCGGGGGTGTCCTCGAGCATCTCCAGGGCGGCGAGCGTTCGCTTGGCGTAGTCGGGCTGGGTCCGGGGAACAAAGGCCATGTCCTTCTCCATGTGGCCGGTGTACTTGTGGTGGCGGTGGTGGGAGAACTTCCAGGAGTAGTACGGCACCAGCAGGACGGAGTGGGAGAAGAAGCCGACGACGTGGTTCAGCAGAGAGTGCTGGGAAAAGGCGCCGTGTCCAGCCTCGTGGCCCAGGATCCAGAGTCCGGTGCAGACCAGGCCCTGGACGAAGCCATAGACGATCCAGGCAATGGTCCGGATGGTGGCGTCAGGAATGGTGGGAATGTAAGTAAGGGCAGCCCAGCCAAGGGCTCCAATCATGACCACATCGCGCACCAGGTAGCCCATGGAGATGGCGACAGACGGCTCAAAGCAGTGCTTGGGGATGGCCGCCCGAATCGTGTTGATATCGGGAAACCGGCTCTCCTCCTCAGGCAGCTTGCTGTATCTGGCGTCAGCAAAACCGAGCAACGGTGAGAAATTTTCGGGGGGGAAAAAGTCTTCATGAGACTGGCAAGACTACTGACATTGAGGCCACGGCGCCTGCTCTCTTGGTGACCGTCGTGGTAGTAGCCATCGTGAAGGGGCAAAAGGCCAGCACAACTCAATGGATAGAGAAAGTTGGGAGTATGAACTGAGGACTCTTTCCAAGAGCGAACAGCCGTCCTGATACCTTTTTAAACCCACACCAGCAGCCCAACTTTAAGGCAGAAAGAATGCGAAAAAGGAGCTCCATAGTCAGGCACGGCATCAAATTTTCCACTTCCACTTCCCCTTTCGCCCTCTAGCTTGCTCTTTCAGATCCATTTTTCGTGTCGTGTCCCTTATCTGGCAGCATCTGGTTGGTGGCGTTAACAGGCGTGACCCGCGCGTTGGTGGCGGCATTGCTGGCGTTGGGAGGTACCCTCTGCTAACGGCATGTGCAAACGGGCCTTGCTGCCAACGGGCCTGTGGTGAGGAAAGCCCCCTCGCCTCGCCCAGACCGCTTGGAGGCGATCCCCGAGTGAGCTAATATTAACCTGAAATGAGATCTCTGACGGCGCGAGCGTTGCTGACCCTTTACCGCCCCAAGTCGCGCGGCCTGTGGTTGGCCAGCGGCGAGCCTCAACCGCCCAGATCAACAATCCAGAGCCCGCTAAGGCTGCACGTGTCGGCCGGCCCAGAGCCGTTCGGGGGCTGGGCTCAAGGGTCCTTTGGGTGGTGATTGTTCCCCTTGGGGGGGCGAGATACAGTATGGGGGCGCAAGGTCAACAAAGGAGGGCAAGGGGCGCGCTAGATACGAGATACACGTACTTGCAGTGGCACTTGTTGAGCCCAAAACCCTCGTTTGTGGGGGTTCCTGTCCGAGGACCCCTGGATTTAGTCCCCTTTCGGCCTGGACCCCTTTAGGGCTTGTTTCCGAATTGGCCAATCGCTGCGTCTCGGCCCAGTTATCCCGCCCTTCTTCGAAAACTTCCAGAATTATCATGTGAAACTGCCCGCTCTCCCATCACATACGACCATAGGTAGTGGAAAATTCGGGGTCCCGTCTGCTCCCCCATAGACAAGCCACTAACCGGCAGATTAGTAGTTGGGTGGGTGACCACCAGCGAACACCGGCTGTTGTATGTTTTTTGGTTCTTTTTGCTGTGTTAACCTTGGTCTATCTTTTAATGCCGTCTCTCTGGCCCCGTCCCATATAGGGCAACCTTGTCCTATTGTCAGACATATATGACCATATCTATTAGAAAATACAGGATCCTGTTAAGCACTTCTCTTAAGTGCAGGGACTTTTATTTTTTATAGCCTAACACTTTAAATCTAGAGTTACATAATTCTGTTTTTAAGGGCTAACTAACCCTACGCTAAAATATTCACTACCTATTTTAGTGAAATTAAATAGGCTAATAGTACTAGTAAAACTAGGCCGCCTCTATTTCTTATAAGACCCTATTACCTTTTTTTTAGCCTTTAATATACCCCCCTTTTCTTTAACTGCCGTCCTTTCCTTTAATCTGCCTCTCTTAAAGGAAAAATAAGCGCGCGCATTCTGTTTAATTCTAATATATTTAGATAATTTTTACAGTCTTTATGTTCTTGTTCTTTATAGGCTATAGAGTAGATAGATAATAGTATGCTTTTTTAATACTTTATGCCTTTTTATAGCTGCTTTAGGTATATATACCTCTTATATATTATACTTACCTATCTTTTTTCCTCTTTACCTTTATATCTGCTATTATAAGTTACTATTCTAATTCTTATTATAGCTACTGCTATTACTACTCTTTTAAGCAGCCCTCTAAATCCTCCTATAAGACCTTGTCCTTTTAAATAACCTTACTAATAGGCTTTTAATAAAGATGCTGCTTTAGCTTCTCTTATATAATACTAGGCAAGCTTATTTAATAAAGCTTTATATATAGACCTATATATATAAAAGCATTATAATAGAATCTAGGAGAATTAGTAATAGTATAACACTACTCCCTCTTATTAAAGCTCTTGCTGCTTTTTAGCAGGTGCTAACTGCTAAGATTATCTAGCTTTACTTTAGATCTAGATTTAGACCTTAATAGCCTTTAGATTAACCTCTATATTAAGGTAGAGCAAGTCTAATTAATCTTTTAAATATTCTTTAAGATATATGTTAAAGGCTTGGTTATAAAATAACTATGCCTAGGCCTAGAGGAGTATATAAAAGTGTAAACTATTTAAAGCGCTTTAGTGGTTAAAGATATATAGACTCTCCTTATTAATAAAGCTAATAGTAAGGTATTAAAAGTAAAGTAAAGTAAGGATCTAGCTAAAGTATTAGTCTAGTATCTCCTTCTTTTATCTTAAAATATTAGTTATAGTTACAGTCTAGTGTATAAGATTACTTAAGTAAGTATTTATCTTACACTCCCTTTTAGTCACTTAAAATAATTAATAAAGCACTAATAGGTTATAATAAGCTTAATAGATTCTGCATCTAGCTTATAAACTTAGTCTTTCCTTTAAGCAGAGTTTTAAGAAATCTAAGATAATAGCAGAAGATATAATCTTCTGCCTTAACATAGTCTAAATAAGCGCTAGATATATATCTTGCAGGCTATATATACGCTTTATATTTTACTATACTATGCTTCTAAGCAGTATTAGTGGCTAAAGGCTAAGCAGTCTTATTAATATTCTTTATAATAATATTAAGCTTGCTTAAGTTAGAGATTTAAACATTTTAACTAAGACCTAGCTAGTGGCATTTATTACTATTTACTATATTAAGTAAAAGAAGGATTACATTTAAAGAGATTAGCGCTTTAAGTAATATTACTTATAATGCCCTCCTTTACCTAAGTATTAGTTAAGCTAATATCTTCTTACTTATATAGACTGCGCTTTCTTATAACACTTATTTTATATAAACTGCTCTATCTTATTACTCTTCTTATAGCCTAGGCTATTGCTAATAATGCTTTTAAAGCTTAATATTATTTATATAAATAGGTCCTGCAGCCTAGGCCTTTTAAAAATAGCATAAATTATATCTAGCTTAAATAAAGTAATAAAGTTCTTAAAGAGAAAAAAGCAATTATCTTAATATCTTATAATAAGTTTCTAGACATTTAGAACTATATATAGTTTATTATAAAGTCCTATAAAAGAAAATAACCTTATATATTAAGAGTTAGCACTAAAGGCTAGCTTAATAGTAAGTAATACTAATAGTAATTTATTAATTCTTTCTATTACTAACACTCTTTTCTTTATAATAAGAAGCTTAACTTTAGCTATTTAAAACTATATCCTTTTATATATAATAAAGGTCTTTAAGAGATTCTACTAGCTAGTCTAAATATAAGATAAGCTATTGCAGATTACTTTTAGTAAACTTAGATAATAAGATAATGCCTTATAAAGTGTTATATCTTAAGCATTCTTATAATAAGACCTTTATACCCCTCTTTATATTACTAAGCATAAACAGAATATGTTTAAGAAATAGGAAGATATAAGAGCTTTAAGATAAAAGTTAACTGCTATATATAGTAAATACAGTTTAAAATTTAAAAAGGAAGGGAAGATTTAGGGGCGACTTTAATAGATTAATAACTGCCTAGAAAAACTTTTATTAACTTAAAAACGCTAAACCTATTTTACTAAGGTTAATTAATTATAAGTATAAGGAAAACTAATAATACACTTATATAATCCTCTTACTACTAGCCTATAATAAGTCCTTTTCTAGTAAAGTAATAGTAATGCTAAGAAACTTTCCTTACTGCTTATAAACTAACTGCCTTTTATAACACTCCTTAATAAGCTTATAGCATATTTAAGAGGACAGCTGCTAAAGGGTAATAAGGATATTACTGCTATTACTTAACCTTTATAACCTTAAGTATTTAAGCAGCTATAATGCCTTTTTAGCTATAGTATATTTACTAACAGGTCTTTACTAATAAGATATATTTATAATATTTATAATTTTAAGACCTCTTTCTTTTACTTAGCCTATAAGCACTTTAGATTAGGCAAGTTTAAGATTAAGGCTAATCTATATGCCTAAAGTAATTATATTAAGTAAACCTATAGCAAGATATATATACTAAATATTTAATCTTAGATAAGAAAACTAGTATACTGCCCTCTTTATAAGAATTTCTTTTTAATAAGAGGATTTATATAGCATATTAATAAGAAATATTTTAATAAATTTTCTTAGTCTTTTCTTTATCTAAAATGCTTTTAGCAGGTGTATATAAAGGCATATATAATTAAAGGTTAAGAATGCTAAGTAAAACACTTAAGGAAGATATATAAAGGAGGGGAAGTATTTAAAGTAATACTTTATTAAGAGGGGGGTATATATATAATTATAAAGATAAAAGGGGAGTGCTTAAGTGGTTTTAAGCAGCAGAAAATTATAAGGAAAAGGAAAAGGCTAATAAAAAAGCAGGAGAATAGAATTCTAGTAGATGTCTTTATAAAAAAGAGGCAGCGCCTTTTTTATAGTTAACTAACAGAAGGCACTAATTAACTTAAAGATTAAGACTAGAAATTAAAGGGATTGCCTAATCCTTATACTAGAGAAAAGTTTTAGGTAAAAGGCTAGGATTAGGTATATCTTTAATAATATAAGCGCAGCTGGCTTTTTTAGGCTATAAACTAGAAAAAAAAAAAAAAAAGATTTACTTATTATTTTTTATCTATATAACCCTTAATATTTAAGAGGCTCTTAGTAAATGTAAAGATGCATAGACCTAGCTATATTATACTATTAACAGTAGTTAAACCTAAAACCTCTTATAACTCTTAAGACACTTATGCTATTTAGCCTAATAGGCTTTATTAAGTTTAAGATATCTTAATATAAGACAAGTCTAGTTAGTTTAGTGCCTTTATTTTATATAAATAAAAATGCATAATATTAAGAATAATAATAAAAGTAATAAATTATAATATAAAACACCTATGCTTCTTCTTTAAAGCTAGTGCCTATTCCTAGAAAATATAATTAGTAATAGTCTTTTATACCTTATAAGCCTGCGCATAGCTTACTTTATTATTAATATTATTATTATTTATTACTAGCGCTAGATTATTATTATTAAG